TGTGTGTGTGTGTGTGTGTGTGTGTGTGTGTGTGTAGTGCTGGGGATTGAACCCATGTCCTTGTGCATGCAAGGCACAAGGCACACTGAGCTATATCCTCTGCCTCTTATTTTTGTTTTTACTCATAGTGAGGATTGAACCCAGGGGTGCTCTACCACTGATCTACATCCCCAGTCCTTTTTTTTTTTTTTTTTGAAACATAGTCTCAATAAGTTGCTGAGGGTCTTACTAAATTGCCGAGACTGGCTTCAAACTTGTGATCCTTCTGCCTCAGCCTCCTGAGTCACTGGGATTACAGGTGTGTGTCATTGCACTCGGCTTGGAGAAGGGTTTTAGAGGTAGAATCTGGAGGATTTGGTGAATTACTATGGCAGATGTGAAGGGAAAGTGCCAAACAAGAGACTGGTAAGCGAGAAATGAAAGAAACCAGGCAGAGATACACCTGAGAGTTTATTAGTTCATCTCTCTAGGAGAGAGAGGCAAAATAGGCTTGAGTTCTGGGACTCTTACAGGGAAGGCTCAGGAATCAGAGCTGGCGGGTACTAATTCGGGCAGTTAAGGGTTGGGTTGGTATGAGAGAGTGATGAGCCCTTCTCAGAAAGGCCTTTGGATGGAAAGCGAAACTTTTTTCCTTAAAATGGCAGCTGTCACTTAAGATGGCCATTCAGATGCTAAACAAGGACTTTAAAAGATGAGCATTGAAGGTGCCAGGTGGATGGATATTCAGAGTGAGCACCAATGTGACTAGAGCCTGGCTTCCTTTCCAATTGAACATGCACCAGCCACACCAAGCTTTTATGCCTAGTAAATTTCTAATGGAGTAGCTGAATGAAAAAAAGCTAGCAGAAAAGTGAAATGAAGGGGATGGGCTGATGGATCAAGAGTTTGGATTTTGGCTGGGCACAATGGCACAGGCCTGGAATCCTAGCCACTCAGGAGGCTGAGGCAGAAGGATCACAAGTTTGAAACCAGCCTGGGCAACTTAGCCAGACCTTGGAGGAGCTGGGCCTGTGGCTCAGCGGTAGAGTGCTCATCTAGCATGTGTGAGGCTCTGGGTTCTATCCTCAGCACCACATATAAAATAAAGGTATTGTGTCCAACTACAACTGAAAAATAAATATTAAAAAAATGGAAAAGACTGAGGATGTAGCCCAGTGGTAGAACACCCCTGAGTTTAAGCCGAGTAGTGCTAAAGAATTTTTTAAAATTTGGATTTTATGGTGTTAATTATTTTTTGGCAGGGGAGGGAGTAGGATGGGATGGGTACCTAGGATTGAACTCCGGGGCACTCAACCACTGAGCCACATCCCCAGCCCTATTTTGTATTTTATTTAGAGACAGAGTGTCTCTGAGTTGTTTAGAACCTCACTAAGTTGCTGAGGCTGGCTTTGAACTCATGATGCTCCTATCTCAGCCTCCCAGCTGCTGGGATTACAGGCGTGTGCCACTATGACTGGCTTATGGTGTTAATTTTGTTATCCTTTTGAGATAGTAAAATACAGATCTCAAATTGTCAATCGGGTGTAGCAGACTAAGAGGGTGTTTTCACTATACTGCTGGCATTTAAAGGCATGGGAATGCATGTGCTGTCCCTTGACCCTGAGTGTGCAGATGGGAAGTGGACCCATAATTGAGCCAGGAGATGAATAGAGAACAACAAAGAGATGGAGAAGCAAACCTCAGCGGCAGGAGGAAAGCCAGAGGGAAGGGGTCATGGACATCTGGGCCAAGTAAAGGGGCTGGAAGCTGGAATAGAGCAGGTTTATGAAGACAGTGTACAATAAGAATAGGTAGAGTGTCAGAGATCATGGGCCAAGATGACACTGCCAGTAAACTTGCTGTGGAAGACGGCAGAAAATGCTGATGGTGAGGTGAGACTTGTGGTCAGGGAGGATCTGACATTTCTTCCTCAAGCCTGTTGTCTTGAGTTCCTGCTGTCCTTCTTCATATGTGGTATTTCCGGAGGATCCTCTAACTTGTGTAGCAGTTTCCCCCAAGGTAGGATGCTCCACCTAACATGTATTGAGCCAGCTGAGGCAGACCTGTTACCTTTTTTTATTATTTTTATTTTTTTAGTTGTAGATGAACCCAATACCTTATTTTGTTTGTTTTTATGTGGTGCTGAGCCCCCCATGCCTTTCTTGTGCTCTTCTACTCAACAAATGCAGCTGTAACGATTAGGCAGCTCTGCCCTCTGTTGACCGATTCTGAAACTGCTACCAATCCAGCTCATAACGTCAGCAAAGGTCCCCTCAGTACTCACAATGAGCCCTGCAGTCAGCCCTCCGTGTCCTTGGGTTCAACCACCCTCAGATTGAAAATGTATTTACCCCTAGGACAGTTGCTTCTGCACTGCACATGTGCAGACTGTTTTTTGTCCTTATGCCCTTAACAATGTAGTATAACTATTTACACAGCGTTAGGATTATAAGTAATCTTATAAAGTATTACAAATAATTATAAGGAATCTTAAAAAGGGCTGGAGATGTGGCCCTGGTCACTAGAAGTATATACAGGAAGATGTCCATAAGTTATATGCATACATTATACCATTTTTTTTATTTCACTTGAGCATCTGCAGATTTTGCTATCCTGAAGGGTCCTAGACGTAATCCACAGATGGCAAGGGACAACTGTGTACCTAGAAGTAGGACCGCTGGTCAGAAACATGTAACCAAGGAGCTCCTGAGACTGAAGGTGTGTCCCTAGTTGAGGTAGAAGACAACTCCAGGAGAAGGAGGCAAGGCGGACTTTTATGATTCCCATTTAATAGATGAGGAAGCCCAGCATCATTAAGTGGCAGAAACTCAGTGCTGGAACTCCATCCTGAGCCCCAGTACAGGCTCTCAGAGCTTTATTTCTTCTCAGTGCCTTAGAATGTTATTTGCAGAATACAAACACAATGTAAATAATCTAAATGTCATTATCCTATTATACCTTTGGTTAGGACCATCTAAAATGCAAATCACAGGAAGTCAGAGACGTCCATTCTGTCACTCACCAGCTATTTATCGAACACCTCCTTACACCAGGCACTGTTCTAGTGATATGAAGACAGCAGTGAACAAAGCAGACAACTGTCCCACCCTCACATTCTCATATGCATTGATAGATAATAAATAAGATGAATGAAGTAAAACCTACACCATTTATCGGGTAGCAGTGGTGGTAAGAAGTAAACAAGAAGCAGAGAAAAGGAGACATGAAAAGCTGGACCAGGATGTTGGTGTGGAAATTTTAGAGTGCTCAGAGAAGGTGACTTTGAAGACCTGAGGGTGCAGCCAGGTATAGTGGTACACACCTGTAATCGCAGTGGCTTGGAAGGCAGGAGGATCACAAATTCAACGCTGGCCTCAACAAAGTAGTGAGGCCCAAAGCAACTTAGTGAGATCCTTTCTCAAAATAAAAAAATGAAAAGGACTGGGGATGAGGCTCACTAATAAAGCAGCCCTGGGTTTGATCCCTGGTACCCAGAGGGAAGTGAAGGAGCTGGACATGCAGATGCCCCATGCAGAGCATTTCAGGGGTAGGGCAGAGTAGCTTGTGCCGAGGCAGGAAGGAGTCTGGCCTGTGAGAAGCAGCAAGCAGGCCAGCTACTGGGGCAGAGTGAATGCAGAGGAGATCATTAGGAGAAAGGGTAGAGGTGTCACAGAAGATCACTCACAGATGAGCTTGTCAGTCATAGTAAGGACTTCAGCTTGTGATCCAAGAGAGTCTGGTTTACTTTAGATGGTTTTAAGCAGAGGAGTGAAATAATTTGCTGTGTTTTAACAGGACCATTCTAGCTGCAGTGGACTGGGGCCAAGGTAGAGAGACAATCTGCTCTATTTTGTCTGGAGTATTTACAACTCCAGACAAAAGATATTTTTGAGGGCTGGAGTTGTGGCTCTGGGGTAGAGCAGTTGCCTAGCATGTGTGAGGCACTGGGTTCGATCCTCAGCACCACATAAAAAATAAAAAAAGTAAAAAAAAAAAAAAAGGTTTTTGACCAGGTGCCTTGGTGAACACCTGTAATCCCATCAACTTAGGAGTCTGAGGCAGGAAAATCAGAAGTTTGAAGCCAGCCTCAGCAACTTACCAAGGCTCTAAGCAACTTTGTGAGACGTATCTCAAAATAAAAAGAACTGGGGATGTAACACAGTGGTAAAGTGACCCTGGGTTCCATCCCCAGTACCAAAAAAAGTGGGGGGATGCTTTTGCAGATTAGGCCTATAGAGTCTTCTGAGGGTTGAATGTGGGTTGTGAACACCAAGGTGCTCATGAAACTGCAATCAAGCAGCAGGCACTTGAGAGGAGGAAGAAGGCTGCAGGCCCTAACAGCCCAAGAATCAGGCTTGGGCTACCTGAGAGACACCCACTAGAGATGTCAGGTTGGTGCTTGACTATGTGGGTTTGGAAGTAGGTAAAAGGAGGATCCAGGGATTATCATCACTTAAGTGGTACTTAAATTCGTGAAACAAGACAGATGTCTGAAGGAACATATTAAGATGGGAAAGATAAGACTAGATGCTTGAGGACTGAGCCTTGTGATACTTGGATAGTTCAAGGTTGGAAAGATATGAAGGAATGGCCAGAAAGGTGAACAGGAAATTAGGAAGGTGTGAGTCCTGAGAATTATTAAGAGAGGATGATGTGATCCCTTTGAATTGGTGTGAGTGTACTATATAAACCACCAGAGATATGAAAAATTGAGCTCTATATATGTAATAAGAGTTGTAATGCATTCCACTGTTATGTATAAATGAGAGAGAGAGAGAGAGAGATCCCTTGTGACTATCTAGGTGCTACCTATAGGTTGGATGAGATGAGGACTGAGGACTGCCCACGGTGCAGCCTGGTCTCCCTAATTCTCTTCTGCCAATGATGACTTATCTTGTTCTCACTTCCCCTCCAGGTTGTAGCAGATACCAATATAAGTGCCATTGCCACTCAGCTTGAAAACATGTCTACAGGCCACCACTGTGGCTCACCCACTGCTGACCACCCTTCAGAAGACACGGAGTGAGTATTCAAGATGCAGAGGGCTTCTTCTGTGTGTGGGCCAAGCTCCTGAGGACTCTCCCCGATGCCAAAATATGCCCTCAACAGGAGAGGAGAGGAAGTGCACGGTCCTTTTTCCAGCTCCTAGAGGAGGCATTAGGGTTCCCTTGCTTCCCACAAAGCTCTGTTTCACCATATAAGCTCTTAAAAGAGCATCTTTGCAGGGCCTGCACACACTGCTCTGGCCACTTCGACATGGTCCCTGTGTCTCCCTCCCTAAGAAACCACAGACCTACACTCCCAGTGTACCAGCTTTCTTGTGCAAGGAACCATGTTCCCTCAACTTTCTAAGCTAAAATTTTATTCTGAGATTAAATCTTGTCATATTTGCTGCCATATTTCATTAAGATTCATCATTACAGTTATAATTGTTTATTAAAGAGGTGTTTAAATAAATGGGTTTGCAGACAGTATTTCTCCAGGCCTTATTTGTAAAGATCTGATTAGGTGGTCTACAGAAGAATCAGAAACCTGCTTTAACAACTTCCCCAGGGTGATTCTGAAGCAGTGCAAGAATATGCATGCTTTGAGAAGTCCACCTAATGTTATTCCTTAGTAATACCAGTGCCTGGTCACTAGGAGGTGCTCAATAAATGTTTGTTGATTATTCTCAATAGTTTGTTTGAAGCATCTCATGATCACAGCCTTTTGCAACTTTTGAGGGGTAGTTTCATCAATTTAAATAATCTTTAAGGGTTTTTTTGTTTTGGAAAGACTGTTAAATTAAGTTCATTCTACTTTCTTCTAACTATAAGAATAACATATGCCATTGCCTGACATGGTGACATGTGCCGGTAATCCTAGTCACTTGGGAAGCTGAGGCAGGATAATACTAAATTTAAGGCCAGCCTCAGCAATTTAACAAGACCCTCAGCAACTTGGCAAGATCCTCTCTCAAAATCAAAAAAATGAAAAGGTCTGGGGATGTAGCTCAATGGTAAAGCTCTCTGGATTCAAGCCCCAGTACCAATTTTTTGAAAAAAGCAATGTATGCCATTAAAAAGTGTGACAAGAAAAATGCATTTTCAAGGTACAACAGCCCTTTAAAAGAAAATCGGGATGGTTATAGAAGAATAGTGTGTCTTAATATCCTTTGATGTGGCTATGGAAATAGAGGTACCCTTGTACTCTTGATTCCTGGAAAGTCAGAAACCACACTAGCACAAAAGAATTTAAAAATCATTCCTAATCCCCCACTGCTAACATTTGGAGATTTTTTAAAAAGGAAAACTAATTGATTGGAAATATTAGGATATGGTGAGATAAATGGAGACAAAGTCCATGTGATGTTACCAGTTAAAGAATAGAGCCTGGCTCCTCCCCTCCCCCTGCAAACACAATCCTCATTGTAAATGGGCACAATTATGAAGGCTTTAATGATTTGGTGCCCCGAGGGCGTCAAACACTGGCTTTGGGCACCTAGGTTCCCATTCTAATATCCTTGGAAATGGGGACTGTGTTTGAAAGAGGAAACATGAATCAAATACGTGTCTAGCCAGTGCTCACAAGGCCACAAAGTGGAGACAGGTGGAGCCTTATTCATGACGTCATTACTGTTCAGCCAAGGGGATAATTCATCCTTATTTCAACAGACATTTACTGAGCGCCTAAGGCCAGGCACTTTACAAATGCTAGGTCCCAAGGATTCCAACATGGATGTAGGTAAAAATATTGCCCTACTCCTTAAGGAGCTGCCAGAGAATTGGAAAAATAGGCCATAAATCCACAGTTATGAAAGAGGGGTCAGTGTAGGCGACCTGAGTGCAGTGAGGGAGGGCCCTGTGACCATGGATATGGGTATAACTCAATTAGGGAGTTAACTCGGGGAAGCTAATACCTAGGCTGAGTTTTGAAAGAACTGGAATAAGCAGGGCGACATTCAAAACAGTTAACAGTTTATATGGCAATTACTGCAGATGCCTGCTTCAGACCATGACTACATCAATAACTGGCAGCAGAGGGAACTAGCTGAAAGTCAGCCCCAAAACAAGCCACGCAGAATTGAGGAGGGAGAGAGGGAAGAATATTCTAAATCAGACAGAACCAAATATTCTAAGGTCACTTATATTCCATTTTTACAAGTTTCTCTGAATACATGAATGGCTGAGTTTACATCAAATGACTCTGCCTCTCAGACATGCATGCTGCCACAAAACAAATGATGCTGCCCCTGTCAATTGTGAACCTCCAAACCAGGTGTAGTGGTACATACCTGTAATCTCAGCTACTCGGGAGGCTGAAGCAAGAGGATCAATGTTTAAGGCTCGCCTCAGCACTTAGTGAGACACTGTCTCAAAATAAAAAAGTGGAAAGGGCCAGGGATGCATTCCTGGGTTCAATCTCTAGTACAAAAAAAACGTGAACCATCCACCATCAATAAGATCATAGCGGGGCTGGGGCTTATGGCAGAGTGCTTGCCTCAGTAGCACATGTGAGGCACTGGGTTCCATCCTCAGCACCAAATAAAAATAAACAAATATAATAAAGGTATGTTGTCCATCTACAACTACAAAAATTAAGAAAAAAAAATCATAGGGCCTGAGATACCAGAATTCTTCAGGTTCTTACTCTTTGAATAATAGCATTTGGGAATAAGAAATTAGTATCACCTGAGTTTAGATTAAATTATTGGAGCCTACAATGATAACTTAATTGTTAGCTGTGTTGTTTCTGAGAGAAAAGACTTCCACACTGGTCGAAGCTTTGAAAACCTAAATTGTGCATTTGAAACAGATTCTTTATCCATTTTGCTTCGTTTGGGTTTCTCTCTTCTGTCCTGGACATTAGTTCTCATCTACATGGTCATGATCCTGAGTTTGTGACAAGCAAATATAGCATACTGGTGTACTCAGGTGACTGAGATGAAGAGTTGACACCAGGTAGAGGAGAAAGATGGCCACATAAGGCACACACCTATCATCCCAGCAACTCAGGAGGCTGAGGCAGGAGGACTGCAAGTTTGAGACCAGCCTCAGCAACTTAGAGAGACCCTTAACTTAATGAGACCTTGTCTCAAAATTAAATAAAAAGCAATGGGAATGTAGTTCTGTGGTAAAGTACTCTTGGGTTCAATCACCAGTACGAAAACAAACAAGACAGATACGTAATTGCAATATGGCACAATGAGGACCATCCTGGAAATTTGAACCAAAAGCAAAGGGAGCAGGTAGAACTCATCCCCTTGAGGCAGTAGGAGGGCCTTCTATTGGAAGTGTGTTTTGAGAAGAAAGTTCCCATCCTAGGCGAAAGTAGTGGGACAGGTGTGCCCAGGGCACGCAGGCAGGAAGGGGCAGTAGTTTCCTAAGCTAACAGGCTGCCATTACCTGTTAAGGACATGAGGCCACCTGAGGACAGCAGTCTCCCACCTGGCCGATGAGACACTCTCCCTCTCTGTGCCATGCACATTCAAGATAGTTCCCTTCAGCTCTAAATAGTGCATTTAAGAGTTTAAAATCAAGAATGGAGGGAGAGGGTGCTTGTGCTTGGACAATTTCAGCATCATGACTTTGTTTCTAATTAGAAAACAGTGGATTTTATGCAAGAGAAACCCTAAACCATCAAGAATATTGTTATCCAGATGTGGTGGCACACACCTGTAATCCCAGCAACTTGAGAGGAGGATCATGAGTTCAAAGCCAGCCTCAGCAATTGGCAAGGCATTAAGCAACTCAATGAGACCCTGTCTCTAAATAAAATACAAAATAGGGCTGGGGATATGGCTCAGTGGCCTAGTGCCCCTAAATTAATCCCTTGTATCAAAAAAAAAAAAAGAATATTATTGATGAGTTGGCATGTCATGAGAAATTTAAAAATCAGTTTCTAGATTGCTAATATTATGATATGGTAAACTTACCTTCATAGCTTCGCAGTATGAAAGTCTCTCTCAAATCTGTGCTCTTCCATTAATATGAAATTCCCTCTCCATACCTATTCTCGAATTAAACAGCATGCATTGTGCTTTCAGAACACCTCCACCTAAGATTATTACTTTGGAGAAAGGCTCTGAAGGATTGGGGTTTAGTATTGTAGGGGGTTATGGAAGTCCCCATGGAGACCTGCCAATTTATGTCAAGACTATATTTGCAAAGGTATTTTTTTCCTTTTTACTGTACTTTTTTTTTTTTAATCAAAACTAGGTGAGAATTTTTTTTAAGTGCTTTGTGTTGCTTTACTTTGGGTTACCCCTGATGTGTGCATGTCTGCATAGTTCATGTGAGTTTTATAAGAAATCTCTACACCAGTGAGAGAAAAGAGATTTTACAATAATAGAGTCAAAAGAATTGTCTTCGGATTCTCTACAGGATTTGCTCACAGACTTTAAGGAGTGTCTTCTTTCAGCAACAGTTTAGGGAGCAGCACCACATTCTTTAGAAGCTGGCCCTGTAGTATTGGTCTAGGGGTCTAGATTAGAAAAAAGATTTGGCATTGTCTTTAAAGAAAAGATACCATGGCCAGCTCAGTACTAGAAAGACCCCGAGTTCCATCCCCAGAGCTGGAGAACGAAAGAGAGAGAGAGGAGAAGAAGAAAGAAAGAGAAATGTGTCAGCCACCAAAGGTCTGAGGCAGAAAGCTCTCTACAAGCCTCAGATCAGTGTAAGAATATAAATGGCTGCACATCACAGAAAACCTCAGGATGCTTTAGATCTGCGTGGTTTCTTTGGTCCACAACTCTGCCAAAGAGGTAACATGTTAGACTAATTCTGGGGAACACCATGTTTTTTCAGGCATTAAACTACTTCCAAAAATCCTAGTTAATTAGTAAGAGGCTGAGATGTCCACTTCTACTGCTGCTTCTAGAAGGCTCTTAGAGTCACTATTTTTAACTTAGAGTTTTTACACTGGAATTTGTTAAGTTTGAAGATCTCTGAAAAGTGTTTGGTGTTGATATTGCAACCTTTGTCTCGTGGGTTTTATCACAATCATTTGTTTATGAATTGATCCAGTTGTCTGACTGCTTTAT